GGCTCTGCATTCATCCGTGTCCTGTTCACAGTGTGAATTGGAAGCTTGGGGGTAAATCAAGAAGTAAGATCTTTCAAGTGTTTTAATTTGAAAAATTTAAATGAGATGCTACTCTTGCCACATACGATCCTACTGTTACCTGCCTGGCTCTGAAGGCAGAGCTGCTTTTCACTCTCAAATAAAACCAAATGACAGCTTGGAAGCAGCATTACTCTGAGGTCCCAGAGCCATGAGGTGCCATCAGAGCAAGGCCATCTGATACTTAGAAATCTTTTTCATTTGTACATGATAGAGGAATCTAGATACACATTTTGAATGTTATTAACTGCTGTGGAAAAAAACACAAATAGTCATGCTGTGAAAACGAAACCTTGATTAGCTGATACCCGCATTAGTACACGCAAGACTGACTGGCTGTGGGAGCAATGAAATGCCTGCAGGATTATTTTCTATTGTCTTCCAGTAATGATTTTGACACTACTGCTTCGATGCTTCAGGAGAAAAGGGAGAGAAAGATAAGGAGCCTTTCAGAAATTGTTCACAAATGTTCATATTCTATCTGTTTTCTTCCTGTTTTCGTCAGTAGTCAGGAACATTCGTATTTAGAGTATTACTGTTAAGCACAAAACAAAATGCCTCACGGAACAAACAGGACAGTTCATGCTTCTGTGATACTGCTTTGGGCCCTTCTCGATTCAGACGGACACTAGCAATATAAACCGGTTACGGTTACGATAACAACAAACTGCAGAAACCCCTGCACACAAGATGGCACCCTCGTAAGAGCGCGGAGTTCCTTACGGAGCACGAGCTCTTGTGAGCCCGGGACTCATTTGGAAATTTGCCCTTCCTATGGATGCAGCTACAATGCGCGCATAGGGAGCGAGGACAGGTAGATAAGACGCAGTAACCACCCAGAATAGGCTGCTTCTTTTAAGAAGTATCTTCAGAGCAGAAAGCTCTCAGTTAAGACCTCATCTGCACAAAGAACGCCTCTGAGGGGGTCTCTGCAAGAGAGGATAGTTCAATAGTTCTACCATGCGCAACAGACCCTCACAGGCGAAAAACTTAAATCTGCAGGTCACATACTGGAGGACTCTGCTCAAATGTTAACACAAACCATTTGCTAAAGGCTTAACTTTGGTTAAGTCTACGCTATATTCTTCTAATTTAGTTTTCCTCAAATGTATTAAAAACCAAAAATAGCTGGAAATTAAAAGCCATATTCCCCCAAACTATTATGATTAAGTTTTTTTAAAACATATAATTCTAACATCCCAGTGAGTAATATTAACTATTTCCTCCAAATTCAAAAAGATTTATTTTTAAGATCTTACCAGTGCTAACACTGTCTTGCTCAGGAAATGTGTTTTTTCACTTAAATCTTTGACAGGCCTTTCACTGAAGTTGTTCTTTACAGATGTAGTTAGAATAAAGGAACTGGGCTCGGCTTTTTTCCTGAGCTTTATTTTTCTGAAGCCCAAGCCAATCCTTGCAAATGTAAGGAAACAAATGACACTAAAAATATTTGAGTTGGAAAACAATCCAAATTTGGCCCCATTTTGACATCCCGATCTTTATTATTTTTTACTGATTTTTAAAGTGACTCAAAGCTGAAAACATTACTCAGAAAGCAGCAATGTAAGGCAGGAATTTTATTTATTTAGTATTTGAATCTGCCCTCAAGCTGTTGTTACTGTTAGATTGTTTTTCTGCCTCTCCCTTTCTTAAATCAAATCATCCAACCATATTATATTTATTATAACATATACAAAAATATATCATATCATATTATATAAAATATATAAACACTTTTTCGGAAGACTTACAGTGTCATGAAGAACTCCATGTCAGAATAAATGGAACCTAGGTAATTTCCCAAATATATCTCTTTTACCCATTCCCCCAGCCTGCCTTTTTGTGACAGGCTGATATATGGGTGACATTTGGGTTGTGACTACAGACTAGCACACCAGTCAAAACCATCCCTATATACGCCAGTTCTGTGGAATCCCACAACAGTGAAAATAAAGGTTCAGGAAGTTTCTCACACCTTTCATATCAGCAGCCTTTTCTACCCAGACGGTCTCCCAGTTTTCACCTTACCCCTATCATACATCTTATTCTAAACTTCTGTCCTTATCTGAGCCATTTTATGTCCTAACCTAAACTTTTGTCCAATGTCTACCCTAAAGCTTTTGTCCTAATCTAAGCCCTTGCTGGATCTTTCATCTTAGTCTATCTTAGACTAAACAGACTCTCTGAACACAGTGGTAAGGGAAAAGGTAAGGCTGGATATACAGTTTGCCCTGCATAAGTAATGAAAGGAAAGGGTATGACTCTTTTGTTATTTTTTTAACATAACTATATTTTTCTAACTTTACCGCAAGAGAGTGAAATACAATTCTAAGAGTGTTAATCAGACTCATGCAGCAAACTGGCAGCTAGATCTGTTAGTCTTTATTTCTAGTGGTTTCTGATAATTACTGAGGCAGATCTCTTGGAGTTTATTTAAGCAGATCTGTTCAGGGGTGAGAAAGCCAGTTCTGCAGTCCTCTGTGCATCTCCCATGAATAATCCTCATCTGCAGTTGTGCTACACCACCTTGCTGATATCCTCCGAATGCTTCAGACAGAAAGGTTATAGTCCTCCCAAGGCAAGAGAGTCACATAGACCAGAGCTGGCTTTCCCTGGATTTCCCAGCAGCTTCTCTCCAAAGCCTCTTTCTCCTTAAATTGCAGACCTCACCTGTTCACCCAGGATGACCAACTGGCACAACAGCAGCTGTTAACAACGCACGCCAGCTGGCCAGCTACTCCGTGAGGACTTTGTGTCTTCCCATTGCCACTGCTCCGTAAACTCATCTGCTGGTAGGCTGCTTAGCCACAGTAATGCTTTGAAGTTTGCTGTCTGGTAGAGTATCTCATTGGTTGACACATATCCTACCTCCGTGAAATTTTACTGGACAACACAGTGCCATGTTCTTGCATCCTGCTCCAGACAGAGCTATTGGATGGTATTAAGTCATACAGGACTTCTCCTCAGCACTCCAAGAAAGGTCTGCAACTGTTTGTGAAAATCCTTCTATTAAAAATTGCTGTGAAAATTATTATTTTTTAATAATAACATGGCAGATCTGAGAAATCTGACATAGAGTGTGGTCATACACCTGAACTGATCTGAAAGGCTTTACTTTTATTAATACAATAGCATGTGTGTTTCTTCAGATCAGAAGGAAGGAAGTCTGAGCAGTTCTGTATTAATGACGAACCAATAATCAGTCTTCTACCTTAAGAATTTGGTTTCTTTGGTCCTGAGACAGGATGACATTCTCCCAAAATTTTCACAAATCAGCTGAAGGAAAGTGTCAACAGACAAAATGTCAGTGTTAGATACATTTAAAAGTGCTTTCATTTCTGTTTGCACCTCTTCAGATATGAAATAAATTTAATTTCAAAATAAAGAGTCAGTTGAAAGTAAAAAACATAAGCAATCCAAAAAAACACAGATTAATATTTTCAATTTTTTCAGAACTTTCTAACAATTGCTTTCTCAAATGGAATTTACATCACTGCAGTTTTATTGGGGTAAACTATCCTGTCTAACCAGAATTCTCTGAAGAAAAACCTGATTTGAAAGCATTTTTCTCACTGACCTATAGAAGAATCTATTCAGATCAAAGAGAAGATGTAGACTGATAAAGGTATCTACAGTGCAAAACAAATAAAGTCTGTTACATGACTACAGTCCTGACCCGTTACTTGTCTAAGCCAATGAGCTGATGGGGCTTCCTACAAAACCTGCCATGCACGTTCCTCTAGAATTTCCTCGGAAGGCAATGGGGCATTAAGGTCTCATTTCAGAAGTTAGTCAGTGCCCTAATACGGCTTGCACGCAGAAACTAGAACCATTAATCCTATCAGCCTCACAATGTTAGCACAGGCATCAAGATGTAGTTACACAAGCAGGTATGTCCGCTCCTTGTTTTGTGTGTCTGACTTTAGATGTCTAAGAGATGAGCGCCGTCTCCTGCCGTCACCAATAAACAAAGGTGAATTCATAGCTCTTGAGAACCGATGGTTCCCAGAGACTAAGGAAATCTCAGGAAGGTAGGATCTTTGCTTAGATATCTGCAATGGACTGTATGATAAGCATGTGCTATTAAATAAAAAGGTGAGGAACTCTTTCCTCTGTGCCTTCAAGACAGGCTGGCTACATCCAAGCTGTCTGCTGGGAATGGTCCTTGGCACATGCGACCTTCTATCCTGTGCTTGGCAATGCTGTTCAAGAACGGATAGCTGATGTAGGCCAAACGGGGCCAAGGACCATGCCAATAAGGCTATGGATGATTCTGTGCTTGGCCATGCCATAGGAGAATGGATAGCTGGTATAGGCCAAACTGTGTGGAGGACCATGCCAAAGCTATGGATAATCACAAGACAATACTGAAGGTTATGCTCTGGCCATGCTTCATTTACACAGACATGCCTTGTAGGTCCCAGCCTCTCAAGCCATCTCCTAGCCTGGCCAAAATTATCAACTGTGGCTACAGCTTGTCCCAACTTTTATCAAATATATAAAAGCATTTAGAAACCTGATAATATTCATGAAGTCTGGGTAGCCTGCTCCAAGGAGAGAGCATACAGCTCCACTTCTTGATACTGTCTTCAACTTGCAATTCTGAAGATATCTGAAGTTTTTGGATTCTGAGAGGCCACCAGTAAAATACAGCACTGTGATGTGAAACCATGATTTTTACCCAGTAGCTGTTCTAGAAATACCTTGCCCTCCTGAAATGATTCCCCAGAGTTCTACCGCCTTGCAGACATCAACTAAGTACAAGAATATTATGGAAACTAAAATTGCCCAGTAATGGCAAGCAGCTGCAAGGGTTGGCTTACTTATTGCATGTGCCCCATTCTCCTCTCCGTTCACAGTGGCTTTTCCCTTCTTTTG